ACCACGGACAGCACACGGCAAACCTACGCGGAGCATCAGGTTTTGTCGGACGCCTTGCCGGCTCGAGACGACGGGATCGTGAGCTCAACCGTCAATGAACCGTGCACGCCTAAGAGGGAGTGCAAAAACAAACATAAACAGACAGAAGAACACCCATGGTGAGCAGGTACATTAAAACCTGTCAAGGCGGCCACTCGGATAAGCCAACCACCATCCTACTGTGGTGGACATGGAAATCCGGTCGCACGTCTAGCGGCCCCAGGGCGCTGACCATGCAGCCGTCGATAAGCGGTGCACACATGCATTTATGCGCTGCAGCGCGCTGGTCGCATAGGATCAACATGTGCACGGCACGCAGCGTTCTGTACGCGCTGAGGGTGCCGGCCCCGGTCAATTGACTGGATTTCCATGTACGCTACAGTAGAAGACCACTGCAACCAGGATCGACCCAGGGATGCTATTTCCAGTCAAATGACCCTTGATGAGGCGACCAGCTGGCAACAGAGACCACATTTTGAAGGTCTCTTTAGCGGTCATCTTAGACCGATTTCAATGTGCTGTCTCATACCGATGAAGATACCGATCGGCAGATCCTGCCAAGTTCTGTCTTTAGCATTATCGAACTTTCGGCAGTATCGCTGCATTCACAATCATGTTCACAAGTACATGTACATTGCTGCATGGGCATATTCATATCATGTACCTGTACAAGCACATGTACACTGCTGTATGGGTATATTCACATCATGTACCTGTACAAGCACATGTACACTGCTGTATGGGCATATTCACATGTGCTAGAAAACATTGTACTACACAGTATTGCATGTATTGTAGCACCCTGCACTGTCTGTGTGTGTTTCCATATGCAGTTTGCAGTTCCCTTCGACTGTACTGTACACATTCACACTGTATGTATTCACCCCCCCCCCCCCCCAACACTGTTTGCAGACATCATGATTAGTGTTGTGCACGGGTAGTCGGGTACCCGTGCTACCCGTGCGGACCTCGGGCAGACGGGTACAGAATAATACCCGAGACCCGAAGTCGCAGATGACATGAAGTGCAGTAAAAAAGAAAAAAAGTATCGTGTCCGTTCACGAAGGGAACTCACGACGGCCGGTTTACCATATAACGGTGGGGGTGAGTGGATAAGTCTCACAACCACTGGCACAAGTGCCGATAAACCCCTCTACTGCCAATAGGCATTAGCCGCATCCATGTACCCCTTGTGCCTGGCCAAAAGTTCCCAGTTGACTGTGGGTAGTAGCATGGCTGGAAAATCTGCTACCAGGCAAGACTTGAACCAGGTACCTCTCGTATCTCAATCATGATCTTTGACCAACCCACTGTGCCTGCCATCAAGTACCGTGCACATGTACAAATTCATGTAATACTCCGCATGTCTACCCAGTATGTAAGGGAATGGGTGCATTGTGGTGTTACCATGGAAACATTACCCGATCGGGTACCCGTGCTACCCGTGGAAAACTATCCGAACCCGATACCCGAAGAAAATGCTACCCGGCTCAGCCCTAATCATAATTATTGTGGAGCTTTCCGGAGCTCTAATGGGCCATTCGCACAACACCCAAAACGTGGCGTACGTGACGTCTTTGTCCGAATAGCCATGACAACATGGAACGTGGCGGGGAAAACCGGTCAATCGAACACCTGGTACAGAAACATAGACGACGTATCCAGATTAGGACCCCGGTACCGAGATTCGTTCTGCTGTTCCCGGCAGTTTGTTAAAAAAAAAAGCGGTGCGCACAGCTGTAGGAAAAGCGTGTATGTGCCTTTGTGAATGTACATGCACTTGCATGAAAACAATGTTTGCCAGTACGTGGAATTCCAAAACGTGACACGTATTGTAATGTAGTATGAACAGCCTAAACAGGATTACCGATTGTTTCATAAAATGAAACATTTCGCTCATATTTTGCTTCTGTTTGCTTGTGCATGGGTGTGTGACCATGCACATGCATGTATGTAAGCGTAAATATGGTGTGCTTGTGTTCATGTGTGAGGGCAATGTCAGTCGATAACCAGTCGATAGTCAGTCGATAGGATTGAATCTAATCGATAAGTAAATTGGGTCAGTCGTTTCACCCCTAGTTTCGGTATTTTCCACCAAAGCCTTTGAAGCCGAAGTACAGTAAGATCGGGCGCCGAAGAACACCTCGCCGAAGAACACCTCGCCGAAGAACACCCAGAAGAACAGTCCAGGCTAGAATTATCAGATTTGAACGTACATGTATGGGAGGTGAGTACATGTCATGTACACGTGTAAACAGTAACTGCTACATGTACAGTCATTCCCATTTACGACACCCACTAGTTTAGAAGTACTACATTGCACTACATGTACATGTACATGTACATGTACATGACAAACGTCATGATGTCACTCGACTCGCCGCGCGCGTGTGAATAAGAACGGTCTGGCTAGAATCAAAAATTTAAGAACTTTCCTAGGCTGCGCTCGAGCCCCTGCGTTCTTCGGCGCCCGATCTTACTGTAGGTATAGTGCATTAGATCTAGCTTCACCACATACGCTCTCTGGCCTTGCGCATTCACACTACGCACACCATTCACACCAATCCACCACGAACACCAATCACACCATCAACCCTCCTATTACTACAGTATCAGGTACAGCACAGCTCGATTACATCCGGTCGTCGGGATGGTACTATTCATTATGCACCAGTGCATTCAGTGCTGCTCAATCAAATTCGATTGCGTGAGTCGAGTTTACGTCCAGCACCAGTTCACATTCCAGTGTTTGCAGGCCTAGGGCTGCGCAGTGCCAGGCACATACTTGCTTCAGACGATCGGATTTCAAACAGTAGCAGTGTAGTAATGCCAGATAGAATACTAACAGTCGCAATAACACCATGCTACAGAAATTTTCACATTTTTAACACACTTGGTTGCCCATGTTACCCATGCTACAGTCACCGGCCTCCAGCCATTTATTCATATTGTTGGCTCCTCTGGGGTCATCATGCATTCACCATCCTGTCCCCCACCTCCCCTCCCCCCCCCCCCCCATTCCAGCTGCTATTGGCTCCTCCGTGTTATCAAGCATTCAGCACCCTTCCCCCTTCCCCCTCCCCCCATTCCAGCTGCCGGTACTGGCTTCACCGTGTCATCATGCATTCAGCTCCCTGCCCACCTTCCCCTCCCCCATGCCCCCTCCATCCTGCTCCCTCTCCCTGCCCCTCCCACCACTCCAGCTGGTACTGGCTCCTCTGTGTCATCATGCACTCAGCACCCTACACCCTTCCCCAGGGCTCCCCTCACCTGCCCCCTCCCCCTTCCCAAGCCTGCCCCTGCCCCCCTCCACCCCATGCCCCTCCCATTCCATCTGGTGCTGCTTCCTCTGGGGTCATCATGCATTCTGTGCCCTACCACCTACCCCCTGCCCTAACCCTTCCACTGGTCAAATACTCCACCGGTGTCCGCATGT